CTCTCCGATTTCGGAACTCTATCAGATGAAAACCGGAAGATACTCACCACTCTAGGTGCTAACCTTGAACTTGCAAAGAGAAAAGCAGAGCAAATGACCAAGAAGAACAGACGTCGCGAGAGTGACACCAGTGAGTCTGACTCTGACAGTGACGATGAGCCACCCACAAAGAGGAAAAAGAAGTAAGCTCATTCATCTTAATATATATTAAAAAAAAAAAAAAATGACGCCAAGAGGATGCGAGACGGAATGACAGCTAGCAGCCGATACACAGACACACAGATTGCAAGCACATAAAGCGAGGCTCATATAGCTCTAGCTGCAGATATATAATATACGCTTATCTTCTCAAACGCTCACACGAGTGAGAAGGGCTTAAAAAAAAAGAAACTGCGATATCAAGGACAGGAAATGAAATAATAATATGTCAAGGCCTATTGCGAACGTGTTTAACAATACTCAATGGAAACGTTACGACGACGAAGAAGAAGTAGGTTACACAATCTAGTTGTTACGATAGAATACCACGAAACCTACACGATGAGGAATACAAGAGAAGTTTGTAGCTTTCACAATAGGCTAATAATATCGCTCCCGACTCAGGCTAACATTGTGATCTATGCACGAACGGAAAAACAGCTTCATGCACTGGTTTCTTTGGACAATAGGGAAAACATTAAAATATAACACTCTTAAGAGTAAAAGCAATAATGTAATATTATACTTAGACAATTTGGAGATTTGCGTACATGACATATCAGTCAGAATAGGCAGCGAGCACATCTCTACTACTATGCATAGTCTTGGACTACGCTACTAGTTACAAATGCGATCTTTGTGCTTTACCACAGTAATATTTTTGTTTTTAAACGCTCAAAGTAAAGCCTCCCTACTCCTGATGGTGCCATCTTTGAGAAAACGAAATCGACCTACCTTCCTAAAACATTGCCAACTGCTTGAGAACAAACTTAAATCTAGATCTAATTAATTTTGTGGCTACTTTCGAATTTTTCCGCGGTTTGAAAGAAATCTAAAACCCAAGACTCCATCCCCACCCCCCACCCAAACCTCAAATCGCCACCCCTAAAACAATCAAAACGAAGACAGGTACAAAATATCAGAATCCCATAACAGCAAACCAAGTACACCCCCCCCCCCACACACACACAAAACAAAACAAAACAAAAAACATAACACATACATTACGGAACAAAGAAACTGGCATAAAATAAATACAACCAAAACACAATCAGGAAAAACAAAAACAAAATATTTGACAAAATTCAAAACTAAGCACAGTAAGTCGAATCCACATAAAGTCACTCAATCACGAGCAAGGAGTACAAGAATCCACCAAAATAACTCACGAGGATTGGGGGACGGGGTGGGGGAAGGGGGAATCTAAGTGAGCAATAAGACTAAAATATCAAATATCGTAGACGTTGCCAAATGCAACCCACGTATAAGACCACAAACAAACACACACACACACACAAACACACACACTCACACGCGCGCGCACACGCACGCACGCACGTGCGCACACGCACACACATCTCAGGCGCAAGCAAATGTCCATAATAATGTGAAAGGTTCGAATCCTTACATCATAGACTTGCAGCAAACACACACACACACGCACCCACACCCACAAACACACACACACACACACAAACAAACAAACAAACGCCTACACACATACACAAAGGGTCTACAGTGCTTGCGATGTTCAACCAAAGCTACGGTTGTCTATACACAAATCGGTATCAAAAAGACAAAAAGACATAAACAAATCAAATCAAATCAAATAACAAACAAAATGCCAATTCAATGAGAGAATTGAAAACACATCAACCATCCCTTCATTGAAAACATGTTCCAAATTCATGATCAATGATAAAAATGTTAAACAGAATTCCAAACGTTTAGGTGCTAAAAAAATCACAATGTGCAAAATGAAATAACATCGTGCTATCTGATTCTCAAAGCGTGTACACACACACACACACACACACACACACACACACACACACACACACACCTATACAAGCCAACAAACACACACTCTCTCTCTATTTCAAACGTTCACTAAACTAGACGTTCAGATAACACACACACACACA